ATAGTTAGGATTATTATTACCACTCTGATACAGTTTTTCTTCATTTTTAACGATCTCCATTATATCACTTAAAATAATAATAATAATAATAATACATTTTAATTAAAATTTGTCAAAATCTCCAAAACCTATACCCCAAATCACTAAATTTAAACAATAAACTATATACTAAAAGTTATAGAATATAATAATATAAAATAAAGAAACTATAAACAAAATATAAATACTAAAATGGGAAACATAAAAAATTTAGGTTTTTAGAATTAAGATAGCATAAAAAATAAATAAAATTTTAATAATTGTTTACTTTATGAAAACATAAAATGTAAATTGGATTAAAGGAAAATTATACAAAATCTTAATATGGTAACACAACTGGGAAAAAAATAAAAAAAAAGGAAAAAATAAAAAATGGCGAAAATAAATCGAAAAATGACAAAATATTTTATTTAACTTTGGTACATTTGCATAATTTTTGTAGGTTTTTATACATGTTTAAAAACACTTAGTTTGGAAATTTATAAAAATAATATTGTATCTTCCGAAAATGTAGAGTTGATAGTTGGGATTAATAAAAAAAATCAACTATAATTGGGATTATTTAAAGCTCACAGATAGTTCACATTTAAAATTGACTCGCTATATCAGCTTGTAACTGGTTAGAGTCTATTTTTGAAAAATGGTAACTATAGTTGGGACTATCATGAAATAATCGATAGTTGGGATTATTAACGACAGACCGACAATAACTGAGATTGTTTTTTTCATTTTGTCCTATATTGTTAAAGCTACAATATAATATATTATAATTACATACTATCATATAATAAAATATCTAAAAAGTCGTTTTTCTATTCTAGATGTACCCCGTGCATCGCAAGGGTACCTCGTCTAGTGGTTATATGTTTAAAAGAGGATCTTCATTGCTATTGATTTATGCGTACACTTTATAATAAATGAGAGAAATAGATAAATAAACTGTCCACTATCAATTATTTTTATCAATAATTTCAACTACATCAAATACTATGAGTGTTTTTACAAAAATATTATTGAAACGAAACATATTTATAGAAATATTATTAAAATGACATTTATTTACAGAAATATAACAAATAGTAATTATAGTAGTCTCGTAGTTAGTTAACTGTAAAATTTGAATATAAGTTATCGTAACTAGGGGTGGACCGAACCGGGCCAAACCGGCCCGCTACTGTGCGGGCCCGGATGGCTGGTTCAGGGCTTTTAGCCCGTGTTGGCGGGCCCCATTTTTGTTGAACCGGCCCGGGCGGTTCGGGTCGGGCCCGGTTCATTTTTATTATTTTTTTTGTTTTTTCCATTTTTTTTCTTTTCCTTGGGAAGGGTTGGGTGTTTTGGGGAGGTTTGAGGGGTGGGGGTTAGGGGTCGGGGGTCGGGGATTAATTAGAAACAAAAAAAAAATTATAAATAGACCCGAGCCCGAGCCGGTTTGGCCTGGACCCGGTATTAACCCGGGCCGGTTCCGGGCTCAACAATCTGCAAAAAAGCCCGCCCGAGCCCGGCCCGGAACCGGAACTGGACCGGCCCGGGTCCATCCCTAATCGTAACTAAGTTACCACTATAGTCATTACATTTAAGAGGTTACATTTTTGTAAATAATATATGTTTTAGTCATTTATGTGTAATTATTTCATAATAACAAAAAAATATTCTACATGCACCCTAAATAATAACAAAAATGCTACTTGTACATGCCACGCCGACTTACACATCAATTATACTTCGCAAAGATAATTCACTTTTTCTTGTTCACATATAGTTTCCTTTGGTAAAATGAAAATCAATTGTCTGTGCACAAACAAAATATACATGGCGCGTAAACGGGTGCGTAAGCTGGTGTGTACAAGTAGCTTTTTTGAAATAATAATTGGTTCTTTATCGTAATATCGCCCACAAAGATAGCTTGAATTGAATATGAAATAGGCCATTTCCGTGTATACCCTTAATACAACATGTATACCGTCAATAAACAATAATGGTGCTGTGAAATGAAGAAAATGAAGACTAAATTCCTAAGATGGATATATTAATAATAAGCTCTAAATTACTTCTTCTCTATATTGATTTTTTTTAAAGTTAATTACTTAATTTACAAGACTTCATCAAACCCCTATTTATAGTGTTTGTTCCTGATGATGAGTCACTTAACGGATGAATCTACAAATGTGGTGACAATAACAAATTTAGCCATCTCTTGTAACTAGGTTACAAGGACTAGACCTAATTTCACGATGGATGACAAGGATGAACAATTCACACTTGTCATTTCTAGGAATTTCCAACACCTCCCTTGAATGTTCATCCTTGAATAGGTATTTGTTATGTTAAAAACTTATTGTGAAAAATTAGTGTGAATTAAAGGGGTAAAGATTACGTTTCTATGGTAAACTATGGTAAACTAATTTTTCACACTAATTCACACTAAAGAAGTTGGTTGTAGATATAACATAATAAGTTTTTATAAAAGAAACAAATAAGAATAAAAAAGTGAATTAAAAGATATGATGCTCATTTTTAGGCTTCCAATGCCCTTTTTTTGTGCAGCAAAAATAAAAGTTTTATTAAGGTATAGAAAAGAGTGCAACCGCTAATGAAGGTAGAAAGTTAAATAAATAACATAAAGTTATTGAAATAACATGCTTATGATCCACACCCTTAATCTCGTTTTTAGCTTGAAGTTGAGCGCTTCGTCTAAACTTAAGGTGATTAGCCGTTTTATAATTAGGATCACTTAGTCGAGCAAGCCACTCTTGATCCGAGTCATATCCCAAGACCCTTTACCTGAAACCGCATTAAAATCCAAATTATCTCCCAAAGAATATGAACCTAAAAGAGATTGAGTCTGATAGAGCTTGATATTCCACTCCTTTATCAAGTGAAACCCAATTTCGTTCTGGAAGGTTGGAATGTTATCCTCGTAAGCTTGCAAATCCGCCTGTAATAAAGCCTTTGAAATAGAATTATTATCCTCAAGTACATCAAAATTCCTAGGATTAATCTCTAGTTCAGGTTGTACATCCACATGGAGACTTGTTTCCTTAGTAAGCTTGGTGTTAGAGTCAAAACATTCTGAAAAGAGCTTAAAAAACGCATTCAGGCTAGATATCCTAGAGGCCATAATATGATCCCTAAAATTACCGATTCTCCTATATGGAGAAGAATTTGCTCAGTTCATGACACTGCTACTAGTCTTTGTGGGATGAATGAGGAAGGCAACATTTACTGGGAACCTACATCTGATGGGAAATTTTCTCTCAAATCTGCCTATGAGGAAGTTAGGGAGGAACTGTCCTCCCAGTTCACCTTTCAGCATTCATGGAATCCTAATCTTCCTCTCCAGGTGAGATCATTTCAGTGGAAGCTTATTAAAGACATTATGCCCATAATTGATAGGCTGGCAAGATTTCAAACAGTATTAAACCCTTCAATATGCCCCATCTGTAGACATCACTCTGAGGATCTCAACCACATATTTCTTACTTGTGAGAAGATTAAAGCAATATGGGATTACTTTATGGGACTCTTTAATATTCCTTATCTTTTTAACACTGAAACTATTAGACAGGTTTTGGTGTCTTGGTGACTGAAAGTTGGGTCTAAGAAACTTGAGGATGTATTTAAACATTGCCTACCTGAAATTGTATCCTGGTTTATTTGGAAGACTTATGCAGAGATTATTTGGGGATCTGGTAGTTAGTTTCCTAACCATGCCTCCATCATTCATCGCATCAAAGATTTTACTCAAATTTGGGTATCTAGTTTTTCTTCTGTTAAGCTTCGTACGTTGGGTGATTTTTTATATGAAGAAAACTTGGTACCTAAAAACTATAAACTGAACAGACCGCTGATTTCGGCTGTGAAATGGAAGAAGCCTATCAAACACTTCAAATTAAATACCGATGCTAGTTACTCACCTAAATCTGCAACGGGAGGAGCGATCTTGAGGGATATGGAAGGTCGTTTAATTCTGGCCGCAACTTTTCCAATTCAGGCTTCATCCCCTCTTGAAGCGGAACTGCTCTCGATGCTCTTCGCTACAGAATGGGTGATAAGAGAAGGTTTTTCTGACTTCCAGGTTGAAGTTGATTCTATGGCGGTGCTTGATTACATGAAGGATAGCGGTTTAGGTAGTTGGCGTTGCAAGGTAGATAGGTTGTTGGCTTTATCTGGATTCAGCGGTGTTTCCTATTCTGATGTTTGGATGCAAGCTAATTGGGTCGCTCACTTCCTGGCCCATCAGGACTTGGCCCAATGGAATTATTATAATAGTGTGCAGGACCTTCCGGCCCAGGCTCGAAATTCCTATTATATTGATCTTTTTGGACTCCCCTCTCTTCGTATTGGTTGATCTTTGGGCTGGTTTTTCCATACACTTTTAATTTTTGTACCAATTTCTTCTGAGAAGCTTTGGTCTGATCCACCTCTCTTCTGTATTCCTTTTACTTTATTAATAAAATATTGATAAATGACTCACGACATTTACCCCACTGATTTTGGTGGTTGACCTTCCGGGACAAAAAAAAGAACTTAAAAAATGATCTAATCCTTCATTATTCCAACCCTCCGGAATTATTAATGATACCCCGTTGAAAGAATTAGCTATATGTCCTTTTTGGATCAAACTATAATAGCCTCCAAAACTGTTGCATTCATATCTTACCTTATATGATTTTGATAACTCGTACCGGGTAAAATGCCACAAATTAGAGAAATTCCCTTTTCATATTGCAGCTAAGGGAGAGCGTTGGACTGGTTCGGGTAGGATGGGTTGAGATTTGGCATATTCGATTATCAGTTTTATAATTTAAAACCCTACCTTGTCAAATAAAGTATTGGGCTATTCGGGTTGCACAATTTCGGATTTCGGTCGGGTTGATTAAAAAATTATTAAAGGTTATAAGATGATAACAATATCACATTCAAAGTAAAAGTTTGTACAAAATTACAAACACAGTAATAGACTTATACACATTTTAACATGCATAATAATATAACAACTAGCAAAATAGTAGAGTTTGTACAACTCCAAAAACATACTTATACAGTTATACATAATGCAGTTTGAGAATTGACACTTTGAGTAATCCAAAGTTCCAAAATAGTAAATAGCAACTACCAAATTTTAACAACATTCAACATTTGAATAGGAAGTCTTCAAATCTTGACATCTAGTTGACATCTAGTTTCCTGTTTCCATCTGTTATTCCAGCAGACGGTTAGTCAGTCATTCTATTTATTCCTATGTAAATGACAAGCAAAAAATTAGTATCATAAAAGACTTAACTAGTTAACTGTTGGGAACTATGAAAACTATATACAAATATACAATCAGATTTGGCTCAGATTTAGCTTCACTTCACTAAAAATGAGGGCATTAAAAACTATATAGAAATAGAATCAACATCAAGCCATTTATTTCTTTTTCTGGTAGAAGGCTACAAGCTATCATCATTCATTATTGCCAAAATAAACAAACTATTAATCTAATAACTCATAAATACATTTCTAAATTCGAGTAGTTCCATGCTTCCAGCAAGGCAATTAGGCAGCAAGTAGAAAATGAATCAACACCAACCCATTTATTTCATTTTCTGGTAAAAGCCTACTAAAAATGAATCATCATTGCCAAACTAAGCAAACAATTAATCTAATAAATCATAAATACATTTGCAAATTCCAATATATTTTGGCTCAGATTTTTATCCACTTCACTAAAAATGGAGGCATACGAAACTATATAGACATAGAATCAATACCAACCCATCAATTTCATTTTTTGGTGGAAGCTATCATCATATGCAACACTTAATCTAATAACTCATAAATACATTTTCAAATCCCAGTAGTTCCAGCAAGGTAGCAAGTAGTAGGGTATATTTTGGCTCGATTTTTATTCACTTCACTAAAAATGGGGGCATACGAAACTATATAGAAATAGAATCAACATCAACCCATCAATTTCATTTTTTGGTGAAAGCTATCATCATTGCCAAAAATATGCAACACTTAATCAATTAGTACAGAGTGAAACAAGATTACCATGTCTTGTTGTACACACACTAATTAGGTGAAATTGTACCAGTGAATCAGCAACACTTCCAATTACCATCACATGAGCAAGGTTATGCTTTTACAGCCACAACATTGACAGAACCATAGCATATCATTAGTGAAGTAAGTTATTACATAATTAAAAGATAAAGGAAAAGTTTTACTATTATCTGATCAAGAGAAGGGCCTCCACCAATATTCCCATCAGACAATTCTGCATTGAAAACAATATTAAGTTAACAATAAGTTCAAATATAAACATTGAATACTAAATATGTAAAAGTTTGTACCTGTTTCTAGCCTCTCTACCTCCTCAATATTTTCTTCCACTGACACAACCTGATTTGACATCCTCAACCAGTCTTGAGCACATATGAGTGCCTCAACAATTATGGCACTCAACGAACTCCTAAAACAGTCTAACACGCTTCCACTTGTACTAAAAGTGGACTCAGAAGCTGCTGTGGAAATAGGAACAACAAGAATGTCTCTTGCCATCTTAGATAGGATAGGAAACCTATCACCATTAAGCTTCTACCATCTCAATATATCAAATTCAGTGTCCTCCTCAAGTTCATTTTTTTCAACCCTCAAAGGCCACTATCTTGATTTTGCTTTTTTAACTGGACTTTGAATTTAGACGCAAACCTACTTCCAGTTGACTCAGATTGCAAAGATAGAGCATTCGGGGTTAATTGAGAGCTTCCACTGACAGAAATATCATAGTTTGTAACATAATCACTATACAACTCATTCAAACCCAGCTTAATCTTTGCAAAGAAGGCCACACATATCTTTTCCTCATACAAAGCATTCAATAGATGTGGCATGTATCATATTTATCTCTGGGGTCAAGCACATTTGCAAAGAAAATGAACATGTTCATTTTTTCAGGATCACCCCAGTGCTTATCATGTTGGGATATCATACCAGTCCCCATTTTGGACACAGATTCAGTTTCAGAAGCAACCATATCTTTGATAATAAAGAAGAGATCAAATATTTCAGAGAAGGTATTAACAGTCACATAGAGAGAGCCTGAAATCCTAAGTGTCATATCATAAAAAATTTTAAGAATCACTACCAAAGTTTTAATTGCAAGCCAGTCCTCATCATCAGGGCTTTCATTCCCCAGATCAACCACATAAGAACTTTCAGTTCTCTTCATAAGCTTCAAAAACTTTTTCATTGGACATTCCAGATTTGAGCATCAAATAGGTTGAATTCCACCTACTTGGGACATCTAGATGCAATCCAGCTTTAGTTTGCATTCCAATCAAGTATGAAATGTCCTTCAATTTTTGAAGCCTAGCGGGAAAATTTCTTAACACACTCAACAACATCCTTGACTCTTTGAACAGAACCATCACTTTCTTTTAAACCATCTTGAACAACCAAATTAAGGATATGGGCAATACACCTCATATGAAGGTACTTAACTTTTATAGAAGAGGCACCCCAAGATAAAAGTTTCTTCTTAAAAAAAAACCTATTGCAGTGTCATTACTGCTAGCATTATCAACCGTCACAGTGAAGATAAATTTCAATCCCCAATTTACCAGGCAAGACTCTAGGGCTTTAGCTAGGTACTCTCCTTTGTGGGAAGTCACAGGAACAAAGGAGATTATCTTTTTATTCAGCTTCCACTCATAATCTATAAAATGTGCAGTTATACACATGTAATTGATCCTTTGTACAGAGGCCCATGTGTCTGTTGTTGTACTGACCCTCTGAGTGTGCTCCCTAAACAACCTTTTCAGACTCACTTTCTCATCTAAATAGATTTCGTAGATGTCTTTAGCAATTGTTCATCTAGAAGGAATTTGGAACCTAGGACAAGCTAAACTTCCTAAACCCTTGTCTGTCTACAAATCTAAATGCAAGCTCATCAATGATAAGCATTTCAGCAAGTGCTCTCCTAATTGCACCCTGATCAAACACCCAATCCCCTAACACCCCACTATTTCTAGATGTTGGATTAAACAAGACTTGTTGAAAAGTGAGAAAGGCTTACCTAGCATCCTTTGAGCAAGGCATTTTGAGACAGTTGAGTATGTGATTTCTAAGAGAAGAAGTGTCATGCTTCTTAGACTAACAACAGTATGTTTTAACACAATGTACGCATTTTCCTTTGAGAACAACACCATTACTATCTTTGATCTTAACAAAGTGATCCCGTATTTTAGATCTGGACTCTACCTCCATAATCTTATTTTCAAGAACATTTGTCTGTTGTGTGCTGGCCCCAACATCATGAGCTTCCACCACAGATTCTTGGGAAATAGGAGTCATAGGAGGTTGAGAACCAGATGCAAGTATGGTATCCATACATTCTGTTGAGGTTAAGTCCCGAATGACCCAAAGGCCTAACACCAACCTTGGATCTAGGATGCGATTTGCTAGAGTAAAGTGTATAAAAGAAAATATAAAATCTGAGTTAACTACTCAAATAACTCAATTTGTATTAACGCAGTAATAACAATTACACAGAAATGGCCGAATGGCTGTTCAAGTCCAAAGGCTAATACAAGAGCTAGAATGTTATTAGAGCTAGAGAGTAAATAAATGCTAACCCTTAAAAATGAATTAAATGCTGCTATTTATACTAGATGAGGGTATGAGGGTGCTCTAATATGATTGGTTGCCTCTCATGCCACTTGATGCTCCCATGATCCAGCATTAACTGCAGTCGGTTACTTGAGCAACTCTCGTTCGGGATTAAGCCTAGCTAAGCCACCAATCAGGAATAAGCTAATTACCCAAGTGTTAATTACATCCCGTTCGGGATGTGCCGAACGAGGCTTGCCGTTCGGGCCTGATGATTTTCCCTGGACCTTCCCTTGCGTCTCAGCTTCAGGGATATTCTGGGCAGGTACATTGGGCCGAACCTTAATATCCCATCACATTGAATTTCCATTCTGATAACTGATAAGTATATACAGTTCAAAAACCTCAATGCAATCAACACATTGAACACAACATCATACTATGAAATAATGGAACAGGATGCTCTCTAAGAAGCTCTGGCAGATATATTTATAACAGGAGAGTTTAATGTAAAGTACAATACTAATGGTCTAATAATTCTATTACACCCCCTCAAGTTGTGCGGGAGAAATAACGCGCAGGTTGTCTTTCAAAAAATGAAAACGTTGAGTAGGTAGACTCTTAGTAAAAATATCTGCCAACTGTAGATGTGTAGAAACATGTTGAACGATTAGATCTCCATGGGCAACACGTTCGCGAACAAAATGATAATCAATCTGGATATACTTACTCCGAGCATGCTGGATAGGATTTGCAGTCAGATAGGAAGCTGAAATATTATCACATAATAGATGCACAGGTTTCGTGATGGGGTAACCGAGCTCAAAGAGAACAGATCTGATGTGGAGTGTATCCTGAACGGTGTATGCAATAGCACGATACTCTGCCTTTGTGGATGATTTTGAGACGGTGGGCTGCTTCATGGATTTCCAAGAAATTAAATTAGGACCCAAAAAGACAGCAAAACCAGTAGTGGATCGTGAGCTATCAAGACATCCAGCCCAATCTGCATCAGAATAGGCAACAACACATGTGGGTCGAGTAGAACGCTGTAGCCACAACCCATGATCACGTGTCCCCTGCAAGTACCTGAAAATTCTTTTGACTGCAAGTAGATGAGTAGTACGGGGGGCATGCATGAACTGAGAAACTAAGTGTACTGCATAAGTAATATCTGGCTTTGTCAAAGTTAAATATTGTAACACACCTACCATGCTGCGATACTCAGTAAAGTCCGCCACTAACTCACCATCAGAAAAAGACAGAGTAGTACGAGAAGCTAATGGTGTGCGAATGGGTTTAGCCGTATGGAGATGAAAACTTGTTATTAGATCAGGGACATATTTGTGTTGAGAGAGAAACAGACCTTTAGGAGAACGAACTGCCTCAAGACCCAAGAAATAATGGAGATTACCCAGATCCATCATGGCAAAATGTTTAGAAATAATAGAGATAAACTGGGTAACGATAGACTCAGAGTTGCCAGTAATAATAATATCATCTACATATAGTAATAAATAAATGATAGAATTATTATGGCGATAAATAAATAATAAATTATCAGATTTACTACAGGAAAAATTATGCTGAAGTAAAAGGCTACTAAACTGATGAAACCATGCTCGTGGGGTTTGCTTAAGGCCATAAATGGCCTTGCGCAAATGACACATATGATTAGGAAATTGAGGATGAATAAACCCACGGGGCTGACGCATGTAGACTTCCTCTGTCAAATGACCATGTAAAAAGACATTTTTAACATCAAGCTGACGAATAACCCAACCAAAAGATACAGCTAAGGTAAGTACAATACGAACTGTGATGGGTTTAATAACAGGACTAAAGGTTTCAGAAAAATCAATACCAGCCTGTTGATTAAATCCCTGAGCAACTAACTGAGCTTTATGACGTTCCACAGACCCATCAGAATGATATTTCGTTTTATAAATCCACTTACAGCCAACAATATTCTTAGTATTGTCAAAGGGCACCAGATCCCAAGTATTATAATTAATGAGGGCATTAAATTCATCAGCCATTGCTTCCCGCTATTTTAAATGTTTATTAGCCTCAGTAAAACAAGTGGAATCCGCAGGAATAACAACTGTACTGAGATTCAAAATGGGTTTAGGTTTGAAAATTCCCGCTTTAGCACGGTTTTGCATTGGATGCTGATTGAGGACCATCAGGGGCGGAATGGAGGCGGATGAAGGAGGGCTGGTCTCGATGTGGGAAGAGTTGGGCTGGGAATAGGAATTGGGAGTGGTTGTCCTATTGTCAAATTCTGAAACAGAAGGGGTTGGACTCAAGGTTAAGGACGTCGGGGTGGAGCAGGCTGATGGGGAAGGGGAAGAGGATGACAGTGGGTGGGATAGGGAAGGCATTCTGGCGGTAGAATGCAAGAAGGACGGTGGAGAGCTGGGGAACGGGTGAAGTTGTCCTGTGGCTGAGGGCTGGGGAATGAGTGAAGTTGGAGCAGATGGTGTGGGTGAGGTGTCGGTAAGAGCCATAGGGGATGGTCGGTTAGGGGAATGAGATGGAATAGGCTGTCTAATGGTTTTAAAGGGATATGTATCCTCGTGAAACCTTACATGACGGCTAACATACACACGGCCTGTAGTAGGATCCAAACAACGATAGTCCTTGTACCCCCGGTGCATAGCCAAGAAAAACACATTGAACAGACCTAGGTGAAAGTTTATTAGCTGAGGTGGTCGAAAAATTCGGATAACATGCTGACCCAAACACACGCATAAAAGAGTAGTCAGGAACACGGTGAAAAAGTTTTTGGTATGGAGAAAATCCCTTTAATGTGGGTGAGGGTAATCTGTTAATGATATATGCAGCTGTAAAAATTGCATCAACCCAATAGTGACTCGGAACGGAGGCTTCAAGAAGCATAGTTCGAGTTAATTCAAGAAGATGACGGTGTTTTCTCTCAGCCACCCCATTTTGTTGAGGTGTGTCAGGACAAATTTTTTGAAAATATATTCCATTAGCTGAGAAAAATTGCTGCATATTATGATTAACAAATTCACCTCCCTCATCACTTTGAAAAATTTTAATTTTATGATTAAAAAGATTTTCAACCAAAGCTTTAAAATTCTTAAATTGCATGAAAACTTCACTTTTGTGACACATGGGATAAATCCAAGTAAATCGAGAATAATCATCAATGAAACAAACATAGTACTTGAAGCCCAAATTAGAATAAATTGGAGACTGCCACACATCATAATGAATAATTTGTAATGGAAAAGAAGAATTATGACTAGCATCCATAAAGGGCAATCGTTGTGATTTTCCTAATCGGCAAGCAACACACTCATGAGTAAAAGGGGAGTGACTACATAAGAATTGTCGACGTTTAAGAAATTGCAAAATACTATCTCCACAGTGACCTAATCTACGGTGCCACACAGGGCTAGAAGCTAAAATCGAAGCTAAAACTAAGGATGGAGATGATGGCAGATGCAGAGGATAGAGTGGCCCACTACTGGAAGCTCGCAGAAGAATTGTCCCCGAGGCTTTGTCCTTAATAAAAAAAGAATTTTTATCAAAAATGACAGTACATTTATTATCTGCGCAAAGTCTCAGAATTGAAATTAAATTATATTTTAACTGAGGCACATGATAAACAGATTTTAGGGTGAGAGAACGACCAGAAGAAGGTAATGCAACATCACCAACATGACAAATGGGTAAATGGGCACCATTAGCAACACTAACAGAATTATAGCCAGTATAAACAGATTTATTTTGTAAAATACCTTCGAATGCAGTCATGTGAACCGAGGCCCCCGAATCAGGATACCATAAAGCGGGGTTAGACTCTCCAGGAGTAGTCAAGAGAGTTGGACTGGACGGCTGAGTGAAGCGAGAGGGACAAGTAACCGCAGAATGACCTGCAGAAAAGCAAATTTGACACACAACGAGATGGGGAACAGAACCAAGAATACCCCCGTCTGATGGTAAGCCTGTAGAACTGGAATTAGTAACACCAACATGCAATGCATTAATATTTAAATGTGACATAGCAGAATTACAAATAATAATACCCGTAGTCGGCAGAAACCGAAGGAGCACCCCCTGCTGGGGCATAGCCCGCCTGCCCTGTTGCGGATACCAATACATGGGCTGCCCATATTGAACCCCCTGTTGTCCTCGTCCGCGCCCACGACCATCGCGTCCCCTGCCACGACCGTGACCGCGGCTGGCCGTGTGGACGTTGCTGCTGTGTTCCCGGCTGTTGAGGTCCCTGCGGCTGCTGGCCTGCCGGCTGGACCCCTGTGGCAATAGCACCGAAGGCCTGGTGCATTGATGATGACTCCTGGGAGCGAAGGTAGAGAACCCACTACTCTAGCTCAAGAAGATGATTGCGCAGGGTCTCAAAAGGAAAATTTTGGGGAAAAAGTGAGAGAGTGGTGAACAGGGACTCATACTCAGGTCCCAACCCCATAATAGTAGTTTTGAGCACTTCACGAGGAGGGACAGAGCAATTAATTGTAGCAAGATTATCAACCAAAATTTTAATCTCCTGTAAATAATTATCCATAGATTGATCAGGTTTCTTTTTAATTTGAGAAAATAAGCGCTTTAATTCCATAGATCTGACCAAACTGGCTGACATAAACCGAGAATCTAACTGTTCCCAAATTTCACAAGAGTGTTTTAAATCCCGAACATCAATGAGAACATCACGAGAAAGAGTGGCAAATAACCATGAGCGAATTGTTTGATCAATTCATAGCCAAATAGAAAAAGCGGGGTTGTGAATTTGACGGTTGAGCATATCTATGGAATAAGCATGAGGTACCTGAATGGAGCCGTCAACCATGCCAAGAAGACCTTGTGAGACAAGAAATGACTGAAGCTGGGTACACCAAGTAGTATAGTCTTCCACTGCGAGGAACTTTGTGGTAACAATATTGGTGACATTAGTAGCCACATGAGAGATGTTGTATACCAGGTCTGCCAAGGGGGGACCGGCTGTACTGCCCACGGTGGTCCGAGGGGGTGATAGAGTAGAGGAGACTCCCGGTGATCCAACGAACGTGGGTCCAGAAAAAGGCCCGGCCGAAAGGGGGGGCGGATCCAAGGACATCCGCTGCACTGGAGTGGGTGCTGGCCAGGGAAATGCCGGAGGCATGGTCAGAAAAAGGGAAGGAGGCACGGCAGTCCGACTGGGAGATGCAAAGGGAGAGATGGCCGGCATACATTCCAAATTGAAGTCGAGCGCCGGTCGAAAGGGGAATTCCTGCCACGACAGAAGAAGACGACAGGCCGGCTGCGGAAGAGACCACCACGGACGGCGCTGCGGAAGTAGCTGGCGTGGAGGATGAAGACATCTTCGGCGGCGGCAGTAGAGAGAGAAACGAAAAAAAATATTAGGGTTTTTACTGTGCTCTTGATACCATGTGAAATAATGGAACAAGATGCTCTCTAAGGAGCCCTGACAAATATATTTATAATAGAAGAGTTTAATGTAAAGTACAATACTAATGGTCTAATAATTCTATTACATACATTCACAATAAAGTCTAAAACAATCAACAAGCTGATCTACAAAAGGGATATAAGCAGTAGGCTTATTCACTTCTCTATATACTTAGAAGATATCAGTTCACTCTAACTACTCGTTTGAGTGTTTGAGTAGAAAAAGGTAACTTCTTAGAATCAGAGATTCACAAGCATGACCAGAGCATCGCAGATTGAACACAACTTCATACATTCACAATAAAGTCTGGAACAATCAACAAGTTGCTCTACAGAAGGATATAAGCAGTAGGCTTATTCACGTCTCTACAGACTTAGAAGATACCAGTTCACTCTAACTACTCGTTTGAGTGTTTGAGTAGAAAAGGGTGACTTCAACATTTGTCAGAATAAATCAACCATCATCTTTACTCAGCAAATTGTATTCACCGATAATCAGAAATTCAGAATATACAAAATATGTGTACAAAGCATCATAATTCTGATATGACTCCACATTACAATTCACACATATATCAGAGAAATAAGCAGCTTCCACTCAAAATCTCTGAATCACAGGCATCACCGAGGCATCATAAGTAATTCATATCAATATTTCAAAATCATACATAATCATTGAGGCATCACATATTCAGAGGCCATTTATATCAAAAACTCAGAATCACAGATTCACAAGCATGACCAAAGCATCACAGATTAACGAGTAATTAATACCAAGGGTTTCAGATGCCGGATCTAGGGTTTCAAGCTTCCACCAAACACATTAGAGTGAATCAAAATAACACAGGTAATTCATATACAAAAATGATAAGACATCATATTTAGGGATTAGACTTTCACCAAATCGCATTTCAAAGCCATTATTACATATCAGAACATGCATTAAATGGTTTATCTAAGTGGACCAAGCATACAATTTAAGTATTGAACGTTTATACCTCAGTAAGAATTAAGATAGTCGAACGGGTTAAAGCTTCCACAAATCCACAAGACCATAATAGTGATCTAGATTCGTAAGGCCGGTAGGCTATAACCGGCTTTCGCAGTTCCACCAAGGCAGAGAGGCAGAGAGGCTATGACGGATTGGCGATTACGTACAGACTACAGAGGTCGGACCATCGGAGGGACAAACAGACTACAAGATAATGGTAAAAAGTGGATGGGCGACAATGGACAGTTGACAGGGATGAGTGGGTGACCGGTTAGAAAGAGGTCGGAGTATGGGAGAGGGAGTTGCGAGTGAAGAGTGAAGTGATATGGTTAGGGTTAAATAAGTAGTTTATATACCTAGGGCAGTTCGGGTTCTCGGGCGGGTCGAATAGCTATTTCTAATACCCTACTCATAACCCATTACCCTTAAAACATGGGCTGGGCTTTTTCGATTCGGATACTCGAGTTCGGGTCAACTGACCCGGTCGGCTAAGTGAGGGGATACCCGATCGGGTTTTCGGTTGAGTTCGGGTTTTGCTCGCCCATAATTTCAGCAGCGAGTTCCTAAGCCAATAGGTAGTTTTTGATCCAAGCAAGATGTGTCCTTGTATTCCTTTTTTGAATTCAGAAATGCAGAAGAGTGAATCTTTAACCGAGAAACGGAAGCATATGCTCTCAATTTGAATGAAATCTTTCTCAATTCCTAGACCCCTGTGACTCTGTGAGTATCTCGGTTCTTGGCTGCCAAAAGGAATCCCGAAGGTAACTCAAAAGCTGATCAATGACAAGCATCCCAAGTTGAACTACTCGTGTTGGGCACCCCCTTCCGTTTCACCTGCTCAGACAATCCCACACTCCATGTTCTCATGCGAGCCCTTGCTCTTGCACGAGAATGATTAGATACAACGTCCTGTGCAAACCCTAACCCCTTCAAACCCAATAAGTAGTGCTTACATGGAGAAAGATTGGCATGAGTGAGCCGATTATTGACCCTTGCTGGAACCCTCCTTTCAAGCTTTCCACCCAGACAATGATTCCCCCTGTAAGATTTCTCCTTTCTATGGAACGAGTTCTAAGCTTCGCCACTCGCCCTTCCTCAACCCGCAGATCGCCCCTTCTTGCAATTCATGGCGAGATTCAAAATCCTTACCCTCTAATTCCCTGTAGATTGTCGCCCCTTCTGGAAGATTGCCCGCAATGGTTTTACCTTTAGCCGAATGACCAACTGATGCCAAGATATCTCCGAAAAAGAGCAGCTCTTCATCGGATCCTTCAAACATGATTTGATGCCTTGCGCTGCCGTCAATGAAGTCTGATTACACTCTCCCGCCCTAGTGCACGCTTCAGCGCCGGCTGCTGCGCCGGATCGCCAGAGCTTCCCCATTGGGGGCTTGTAATGCTCTCGTATTATGTCTCGTATTCACAAAAATTACATCCATACTCGTTGAGAAATGGTTGTAGATAGGACTAAAATTTACAGTAAAACTTCGTCTTTTAAAATACCTAAATATGACACTTTTTATGTTGCTTTACTTATTTACCCTTTGTCATTAATCCGTTCCAATTTTACTGCATGAGCTCTCTCTCCTCCGATATCGATCGGTTTGCTCTTCGACAACGAAGCAGAGGAGCTGCTCGACCCTGGTAAAACCACGCAGATGGTGCCGTCCATAGCTGATGATGAGATGAAGCGTGATGGATCAGAGAAGAAAAGGTGCAGCGGCGGCGCTACCTGGCTCTTCGTCTCCTTTTTTTGTCTTCTGTTCTCCGTCATTTACTTTTCGATCTGTTTTTTCCTTTGATTGACGCTCGACTTCTGAGGCTCTTCCTGAATTTCTGATCTCAATTTCCGAGGCTCCTCTTGAAGATACTGACGGATCTTGGCTTCGCACCTCATATCGTTTAGATTAGTTCACAGGGAAGACATAAAACTGATGTGGAAGATTGGGTCATAACCGGTAATTTCTAGAAATCGGAAAATTATGTGACATTGCAATTATATGTTCCAGTGGAATTCTATTGCAAATTTCTTTCTGATATGTTCCTTACGTATGTTAGTCTACTATTTGCTTTTACTTGTTTTTAGTTTTTTCTTATTCTCTTACTACGTATTTTTTGTATTCTTATTCAATTTGTTTTAATGTTTTTCTCTTATTGTAATCTCATGTTTCAATTTGTATCGTAAGTGCATTTTTGCTACATACCGTAAATGCTACTCCATGTTTTGTTTTGTTTTTTGAGAGAAGAAGAGTGCTATGTTTTGTTCTATGTTTATGACATTGTTATAAATGTTTGGTTCCACTTTCATTGTTATGGCATTGCAAATGTCATTTACATTGTTAAGTTTTTTATAGTGATGAATGTGAATTGGCTTAGTTTTACAAATGTTGCACGTGCTGAAAATAAAAATTACTACGTACAGAGTATATTTTAGAGCTTTGCATTAGTTTAAACAATGTCATTTTCATAATGATTGACATTCTTATAACATTGTTATAGACATTTTTATGACATTATCATTGACATTCTTATGTCATTGTTATTGACATTCTTTTGACATTGTCACTGACATTGTTTTTTATTGACATTCTTATAATTTTGTCATTGACATCCTTATGACATATTGACATTGTCATTGACATTCTTATGATATTGTCGTTATTATTATTACAATGTCATACGAGTAATATGTAATATTGACATTGTTATTACTTGACATTGTGTCACTTTCAAAACCGTGACATTTTTTCTACATTTTGACAATATGTGAACATTGTCATACTTCTGATAATAAAATATGTGACAATTTTTAAAATATGTGAACAAATATTTAAAATATTTTAAAAATATTTATAATGAACAAATAACGTAATATGTGACAATTTTTAAAATATTGACATACTTCTGATAATAAAATTAATACTACCATTTTCCATAATAAAGAAATAAAACTTAACAAAATAAAAACAATGTTTTTTAAAGCAACGGGCTAACCGGGAAGCATCCGGTTATGTAGACCTAATTGACGGGATTTTCATTGTTGGCGGGTTCAATTGAGGGTTTCCAAAGTACAAGGACTTCATTGACGGATCGCGCATAGTAGGAGGACGCAATTGACAGTTTTCCCAATTAAATAAGATACGAGTACTTTTTAGTACAAAGACTTAATAATATGATTAAGTAGAGCACATTAATTAATATGGGTGGGGCCTACTGGTCTCTATCGTATGCCCGTTCGTCAGCTCGGCTCATGAATATTATTTTTAAATTTCTTTTTAAGCAGAATATAAAATACGTCACCCATGTAACCCTTTCTGACAAATCTCTTGACCTATATAAATGGCCGGCCATACCAAAATACCAATTCAACCAAATAGATAGTACGAAGTATATGGTTACCAATTCACGAAATTAAAATGGGAAAACATTTTATTACCACATTTTACTTTGTCGTTAATCTATTTCTTTGCTTTGTTCAAGTCTTTGCAAAAGGTTCATCTTTGCCAGAGTGGGCGTGGGCAGCAATTTTTGTGTCTTGTTTGCTGGCATTACTGCTTTTAGCGTGTCTAATTGATTTGAGGTGTACTAATACCATTTGTAAGGATTGGAAATTATGTTGCCCTAACGTGAAAACTACCCCAACGTCTCCGAGGTCTTCCTCGTAGAGCTTTCGGCTGCGTAGGGTTTAGTTTTTCCGCCGCATAAACGTGCGGCTAGTTTTTCCCTTGCCATAGAGATGAAGAGGTTTGTTTCTTGGTTTTGAATTTTCGATCAATACCAAAGCTACAACAATGACCAGGTGAAGCTCTCCATAGTTGTCTTCCTTGTGCTTGGAGCAAGGTTTGTAGTCACTACACTTTTGGTATCAGCGGCGGTAACGTACTACAACATTATCTGTTTCGGCTTTTGATCTTTTGGTCTTAGAAGAAAAAAATGAAGTGTTGATGATCCAACCTTCTCCTGAGCCGCTGCCATGGAGAAGAATGAGTGGCTAGGGTTTGCTTTAGTTTTATTTCAAGTTTTATTTTTGTTTCGATAGACTATTTACTTTATTTTTAGATTGTTTGTGTTAGTGGCAGTTTTGAGTTATCTAGTTTAGCTATGATCGGAAGTATTGAGATCTCTACAACCATTAACTACTTCGAAGTTCTCATATGTAGTAAAAAAAATCTTTCAATTTTTGGTTAACTTTTATATGCCTGATCAAGGAATGAGGGGACATGTAGGCTATTATGAGTCTAATAAAGTGGTAAAGTGTACGATGACATTAAAGGTCTGAAGAATTCTATATTGCCCGTTTGATGGTCAACGATCCGGGTTGCTTATTTGGAGGTAACTGTCTCAAAGTCTGATGTTAGGGCATTTCTTGAGTTTAGATGGGGTTTGTTAAATGATAAGTGGTGGATTTGGAGTTATTGATTGATTGTAACTCTTGAATCGTTTGGTATTTTAATATAAGTTTCTTTTCCTTTCAAAAAAAATTGATATGTGGTGTCACTTGTGATCGAGTATAGGTGTTGTGATCGATTTTAATTGATGGTGTGTTTAAGCTAAACTATGTAGATATAATTTTTTATATGCAGATATAAATGAAATAAACTTGGGAACGTGCAAGAATTTATAGTAGGAATAAGAATTTCAATAACAATGAACACAACACAAATTGAAGTAAATAATCTACTCCCTTCATCCCATTGGACTTTGCCAACTTTCCTTTTTTGGTTGTCCCAAAAAACTTTGCCACTTTTCTATTAAAACAATTAATTTGTGGTTCTGCATATTTCTCTCTCATCTCCACAAATCTCAAACACAGTTTTTTTTTATCTTATATCTCACCTACTTTGCACTTGGCAAAGTCCACCGGGACGGAGATAATAGTATATTTCTCTGGATAAGTGAATTATTATAAGTGCGTGAGTATGTAGAATACAATGTGTCCTCGAATTTGTTTCCTACAGAGTAATATACGAAGTACAGAGTATTAAATAAAGGTAGCTATCCACCGGTTGCCTGGCTAATTCGTCCATTTGCTGACGAACTCGCCATAGTGTCATCCAAACCGGAATCTGTTGGGCAGTTTCGGTTAAGGGTGCACAAAAATACTGAAAAATCGGTATATCGCATTTACCGTACCGAAAATACCTTAATATTAGTATAACATCATGCTCTTTTTTCTTAACTATTTTGTCATCCTCAATGTTGATGTTAATTCAATAGTTGCAATCATTGAACATCTCTTTTCCCGTTTGGTTTTGTTTTTAAACAATCTAATGGTGTAACTGCATGATTGAACTATCATTTCCTCTTTTTGGGTTTAAATGGGTTTTCACAACTTTATTGCTTGTTTCCAGTGTTGGGCACGGATTTTGTGAATGTGTAACTTCTCACTTCTCACGTTATGATGTTTTCTCATTAGAACCCGACCCTATATATATATATATATATATATATATATATATATATATATATATATATATATATATATAGAGAGAGAGAGAGAGAGAGAGAGAGAGGAATGTTTAGGTCTGAACATTCCTCGTCCGACACCGTCCGAACAATGCCGTTCGGGACGGTTCCTGGTGGAATTTTTTGATAAAATTTTTATGGTATGTTCTTCATCAAGTCTAGTTTATCCATACCAAATTTCAGCTCAACATTCGATTGAGAAGACCTTCAAATGAGTTTTTGAAGTTGACTGCGCTAAATTATGCATAGAAAAACACGGTCAACTTCAAAATATCATTTGAAGGCCTTCCCGATCGAAGTTTGAGCTGAAATTTGGTATGGAGAAACTAGATTGATGAAAAACATACCATAAAAAATTCATCAAAAAATTCCACCGGGAACCGCCCCGAACGGCGTTGTTCGGACGAGGAATGTTCGGACCTGAACATTCCTGTATCTCTCTCTCTCTATATATATATATATATACACAATAATGTTCAGATCCGAACGTTCGGGCCTGAGGCACCGTCCGGACACCACCGTTCAGGGCGGTTCTCGATGGAATTTTTTGATGAAATTTTATGGTATGTTCTTCATCAAGTCTAGTTTATCTATACCAAATTTCAGCTCAAAATTTGATCGGGAAGGCCTTAAGGTGATTTTTTGAAGTTGACTGCGTTTTTCAGTCAGAACAACGTGGTATATTAAGGTAATATACCAATATATATTAAAGATCAAATTTGAACATGGCTTAACGTGAGAACGTGAGAACACCACATTTATCCCGATGTAATGCACAATGAGGCCCGTCTAATGCACTTTTCACATTCAGCATAATATTTACCAAAATGCCACTGTTACTATTTATATTGTCTTGTTTGGAGAAAAGTTAAAATTTGCATCAGACGGGCCTTATTGTGTATCACATTGAGTTAAATGTGAGTGTTCTCACGTTCTCACGTTAAACATCATTCTCATTGGAAGTTGGAACCGCACCATATATATATATATATATAT